TTTAGGTTCCAAGCAAATGCAAACTTTACATGGTGCCTGAATTGTATCTTTCAAGTATTTTATACTTAACCTGTGGTTGACCTATTCAGGGAGATCATGCTTAAAATTTTTATGGAACTATGCAAGCGCGCATAAAATAAGAAATACAGTGAACACATAAAATGACTTTCTATATTGAATTTGTTACTACTTTCCTGGTTAACTTTTTAAACCTTAATATTTTAAGACACTTAATGTTTTCCCAGATGGTCTTTGTTGAAACTATCTCCAGATTCATCATTCTCAACCATGGTGGTCTGGCAGGTGGGGAGTCAGGAGATTTAATGTTCTTGGCACAGGGACCCACACTAAGATTCTCAATAAGGAAGGCTGAGAAGATGAATAAAGGTAACTGCTGAATAGGCCCTAGTTATTATAAATTGACCGTAGATACATTTTCCTTTCTTTTGCCTTGATAACAAGAGAATGAAAAACTAGAAATCACTACAGATCACCTTCCTCATTTTTGTATATTAATGTACAGATAGAACTGTTATGGCTTGTGCCTAAAATGTCCTCCCAAAGCCTCATGCAGTCATAAGTGGGGCTTTCTCCGGAGGTGGCTGGATCTACTATGTGATACTGGAATTGATTCATGGTGCAGTGCTAGGCTCAAGGGTACTAGGATTAAGGATTCAGGACTTAAGTCGTCTGAATAAGATAAAAAGGGGCAGAAGGATGCTGTTAAGGTCCCTTGTTACTTTTGCTACCTCCTAGCCACACCCATGAACTTTCTCCTGCCACACCACCTGGCCTTGGAGCCAGCCAATCGTGGACTGAAACCTCTACCGTGAGCTTAATAAATCTTTTCCTCTTTAACTTTGGGTGGTGGGTATTTTGTCTCAGCAACAAGAGAAAAGCAATGAAGACAGAATTTGATACCAGAGAAGTGGGATTGTTGCTATGGCAGTACCTGACCATGTGGTTCAGAAGCCTTTGGGATTGGCTTATGGGAAGAGTTTGGAAAGGATTGGAGATGCTGGCTGAAAAATAGAGCTGGAATGCCTCAGGCTGTACTTCATGGGAGATTCTGGTCAGAGCTCAGAAGAGCAGAACGCTGACAGAAATGAGGCTGATAAAGACCAGGTTCCGGAGGTTTCTGCTGGGAAGAACTGCATTGGCTGTGGAACTCCTCACAATGTGTCTTATGCCTTCACAGGAAATTTAGTCTGCATTTTGCTGGTGTCCAGAGACTTTGCCTGAGACTGGGATTAAGAGCAGTTGACTAATCCAGCTGAAAAAATTTCAAGGCAGTCTAACGTCAAGGCAGTGGCATGGATATGTTGGGGGCTTTTTAGCCAGATTTATGCCAAGAATCAAGAGCAAAGAGCCCAGCTAAGTGATTTAGAACATTTTGAATTTGTCCAGAAAGGAAGCTCCAGTAAAGCTGTGGACTGCAAAGATAAAGCAGAGATCTTGATTGCTGAGAAGGAATGAGAGAATAGAAAAGATGGTGTGAGGACATCACAAGAAGCAGCAGGACTCCACCCTTGGCAGTCTCAAAATTGCAAAAGTGAAGGACTTTGAGAAAAGAGCCCTAGAGCACCATGTTCTACAGTGGCAGTGGCTTAGGGCATTTGTTTCTTGGGACTTGGTTCCTAGGCATTATGAACCCTACAGCCGATAGAGAAGGAAGCCTGGCTACTTCTCCAGCTGGCGACACACCTTGGCATCATCTACATAGCGATGGTTTTAGGTGCATTCAGAACACAAGAGTTGTGGGGTCAGGAAGGCTTCCGTCTAGATTTCAGAAGGAGTCCTAGGAGGCCAGGCAGGGTGCCCCTGAGAGGGCAGTGTAAGGAGCTGTGTGAAGCTGAAGGTGCAGTAGGAACACCAGTTTGGAGAAGCCAGGAATATGGATCTTTGGAGAATAACTGCAAGGAGTGAGCAGAGTTGGCCCCAGGGAGGAGCCATGGAAGCCACCACCACTGGAAGTGCCGTAGGGGCAGAGCCAGCTAAGCTCTTTTGACTTCACAACTTGCCACAGGTTGCCAGGGACACTGGAAGTGAAACAGTGGGACTTAATGTTTACCCTGCTGGATTTTGGTCTTGCTTTGTTTGCTTCCTTGCTATCTCCTTGTTTGTAACTTTTGGAACAGAAATGTCTCTCTTGAACCACTGAATGTTGGAAGTGTTTAACTTTCTTTTCATTTGTACAAGGCTCACAGCTAAAGAGTTTGCCTGAAATCTCAGATGAGACTGAACATCATTTTTCATCAATGCCAAAACTTTCAGAATTTCAGCAACTCTTGGAGATGGACTAAAATGCCTTTTGCATAAAGAGATATGCACGAGTCTTTAGGGGGCCAGGGATTGAATATTATAGCTTGTGTTTAGTTGTCCCCCCAAAGCCTCATGCAGTCTTGGGGCTTTTTCACAGGTGGCTGGATTGTGTGTGACACTAGAATAGATTCAAGGTGCGTGCTAAGTTCAAGGGCACTGTGAGTAAGAGTGTGACTTGATACTAGCCTTAAGTAGTCTGGATAAGATTAAAAAGAGGCAGAAAGATGCTGTTAAGGTCCCTTGTTGCTTTTGCTACTTCCTGTCCACCTCCATGAACTGTTTCTCCTGCCACATCTCCGTGCCTTGTAGCCAGATGATAATGAACTGAAACCTCTACAAACTGAGCTAAATAAATCTGTCCTCCTTTAAATTTGGGTGTCAGGTATTTTGTCTCAGCCACCAGAGAAAAGTAATGAAGGCAATAAACATGTAGCGATAATAGTTACTGTGTAAAGTGTTCTTTGAAAATTTTTATTTTGAGCCTTGCCACTTCTTGAGATTTTTGGGCTCTGGGAATGCTGGACACAGATCTGTTTCGTTCCATGCACCACAAAACAATCCATCCCAGAGCGAGCAGGGCTGGCTGCTGTTATCAGCCTGCTGTCCACAGTCTTTTATTACTCTAACGGGGCCCACTCTTAGGATGTAGCCAGCACTTTCACCTTTCCCTCTTAGAGCTAACAAAGTAACCACTTTGTTTTTGTCCATTTAGTGTTATGATTTTCTAATATTCGTGAATAAAATATCAATCACCATGATGATACCTCATTCATAATTTTCTCTTAAATACCAGGCAGTCTGTAACTACTTAAAGAGCTCTATATCACAGAATAATGTCAATAAAGTTATTTCAAAAGAGAAGCAATTACCCAATTTGTGCAGAACAAAAATGGAAATCTTAAACCGGGTATGGTGGTGCATGCCTGTAATCCCTGCACTCGGGAGGCTGAGGCAGGAGGATCCCTGTGAGTTCAAGACCAGCCTGGACTACATAGTGAGTTCCAGGTCAGTCTCAACTACACAGTGAGACCATTTAAAAAAAAAAAAAATGGTGTGGCTTATAAGGTTTTGCTTCATGCTTTTTTCATATTAATAAATATAACAAGAAAGCTGAAAGAACTTGGATACATAAACTACATTAATGCATACACGAGTTTAAAAGACTAGAATTACTTTCAAAATTTATGTTTTGAAAAAAGGTAAATATAAACTGGCATGTTGAGCTATCATTTGAATGAAAGGGGGTCAGAAAGAAATACATTTTGTACTGTATACACACAAGAAGTTTCTTGGAAGTAAATAGAAGAAAGCAATGTCAGTTGTCTGTGGGAAAAGAAACAGGGTGGCAAGAGCCAGGAAGGGGAAAATTTCTCACCAGATATCTTACATAACCTTAAAATTGTGAACTATATGAATGTTACCTATTCAAAAAAATGGTA